CGTTGGATCGCCACGACAGACTGTGGGATCTGGGCGAACCGCGTCGAGTTTACGACAGAGGGGTGACGATCGCAATGGTGGGAGTTAGCACGCGGCGGCCGGGATCGTCGGTGCGGGTATGAGTATCGATGATTGGAGTTGAGTGAGTAATTGGTCCGGGGCCATATTGGAATTAACGACGAATGCGCCTTTGTTGTTGCGGATCTTTATCTTTGGCTTGAGTGCGTGACGGTCATGTCGAATGTCTCTCTTCCAGATCTGGTCATCACCTATCTCGACTCTCTTCCCTCCCCCCCCCCCTCTCTTTTCTCTACTTTTGAATAATGATGTGTCTCGATTGAATGTCTCTCGCTTTCTCTCTTGAGTAGGAGCGAATCGGTGCGCTTCCCTTGCTTAAAAGAACTTCTTCCGGAACTCTTCCATTAGTTTCCTGGGTAATCCTCCTACGCAAGGACATTGCCTTATTGTCTTGTGAACGGTGGATGCGTGTGTACTGTGCAATACGACCCATTTTTTCTGGTGCATGTCTCATTTTCGCACCTTCCACAGTGAATGCATGTATGGAAATGTGCGGCTCTTTTTCGTGTTGATTAGACGATCATCGTTGGGATTTTGTTCGAGAATGCAAGAGTGTTTAGATTTGTAGCTCTGAAAGAGCTGTGCATGCCATCTGCCTTATGCTGCACGACATCAGCAGCCGAACCATGCACCGCGTTGGCTCACTTAACTCGAGCCACGAATAGATCTTTCGATTGTATGCATGCTTCAAGCTGAGGAGACACTTTCTTTTCACTCTCTCTCTCGTATCGAAAGGGATTGATTGTAAGTTGCGCGAGCGTTTTTCTTCGCTTGATGACCTCTCAAGGTCTTTGCAACTGATTGATATGTGGACTGACTAGTACCCTCCGATCAGGCGCCAGCCTCCCGTATCCCCCATTCCGACACGGCCTTTTCCCTATAACGAGGAAAGGACACGTGTATGTGAGTGGGACGTACGAGAAGCCGTCGCACGAATCGACGGACAATTCTTCTTCCCTCCTGAAAATTGTTGTTCTAGATTTGTCGATGCGCATTTTGTCAGTACCGATATCCACTTCCCACCCTACTCAATACTGCTCCCATTTAACGAATTGATCGTCATTCCGTGGACGGCAATGACGCCTCATTGGCCTCGAACCTTGTGCACTGAGTGCCAGCGTTTCGATAGCTACGAATCGAAAGGCTTTCACTACCGGATACGGAGTGAAGACGAGCACAAGGAGAGAGCCACACGGCTGAGACCATCCACGTCAGACTCGGAACTAACCAGCAAACGACGACGAGACTTGATACGGAAACAGGACACGCGAAGCGTGCCAAAGCCTTTCCGTTCTAAACGACGGGCCGTAGCATTGGGGGAAGCACGACAATATTTTTTTGACTGAATTTGGATTCTTCCCTCCTCCCGACTTGTCCACGCACGTTCCGCGATGCGCGAAAAACGATCGACTCACTTCATCGGACCCACACGGGGGATTTCAGTTCCGTCTGTGTCCCCACACTCAATTTCCAAAAATCCTTGGCACACCCCATCTTGCTGTTTTTTTGGGCCTCTTTCCGCATGCCTAACACTCTGAACGGAAGACAACACAGGGCGTGAGGTTGCGCGTCACCTGGGCCCGTTCAAAATAAAATTCCATTTGGAAAAAAAAGAAAGAAAAAAAAGGAGTGTTTGAAGGGATCCCACCCGTTTCCACAGATGTAGGGAGCTCCGCCAACGACGGAGTGTTGTGGAAACGTTTGATGTTGTGTCACTTGGGGACCACACGGCCGCAAAAGAGATTGGGCCATTTAGGACTCGGCCGCGAAAAAGATCGGGTCATTTAGTAAAAGAGCTCGCCCCTACCCTCTCCCCAAAATGAACGCGGATTTTTTTTTGTGGGAATTTCTTTTTTTTGGGGATGCCTGTGTGGAGGACCTGGTTCCTCGGTTCGTCGGACGACAAACGTCCTGCCCGAAGCCCAAAAAAATATGCACCACTTCCGTAAAAGTTCGGATGCATTCGGGACTATGGGGTCTCTTATTTCTATTGTGTCCTGTCCCCCCCCCCCTCCTTTCTCGTTACTTTTCCTATTTTATTTACCGTAAGTATTGTGGGATCAGACCCTAAGGGGAGGATCCCACTTCTTGTAGGCGAGGCACTTTTAGGGAAATTTCCAGATTCCAACTCTTCCCGTGCGTGGAGAACTCTGGAAGGGTTTGTTAGGGATTTCAAGGGTTTTGGAATATTTGTAGGACATCTGCGGTCTATTGCCATGCCTCCTGAATTACTGCAAGTGTTCAAGGGCCAGGTCCCACCAGCAGCCTAGAATTTCCTCAATACCCGTATCTGGACTTGTTTGTGGAGATGTGGTGTTAAGGAAATATAACACCATTTCTGCACATCTCCACCAACAGGTCCAGATTCGGGACTTGAGAAAACTCAACACTGCTGGTGGGGCCCTATGGAGCCCACACAGAGAGGGTGCACGCTAATTTGAAACCGTGCTCGAATTTGTAGCGTGCGAACTTAGACACACACACACACACACACACACACACACACACACACACACACACACACACACACACACACAGAGTAGCAGTGTGACCCTTGTCATGTTGCCTGT